ACACACACACACACACACACAAATAAATAAAATTTTTAAAAAAAAGGAAAGAAAAATATTAAAATGATGGTATATTTGCCTCTGTCAGTCTATTCAGTTTTTTACTGTAGTTGATAAAAAGCAATATGAATATTGAGCCAGGGAGATGGCTCAGTGGAATAAGTGCTTGCCTGGCAAGCGAAACATCCTGCGTTTGATCCCTGGTACCACCAAAAAAATGTGTCATGAATATTGACAAAAATGTATGAAAATACTGGAATATTTCCTTTATAATAGGCACTTCTTTTTCTTTTTCTTTTTTTTTTCTTTGAGTGGGATTTTGTTTTGGTTTTGGTTGGTTGGTTGGTTGGTTGGTTGGTTGGTTGGTTGGTTGGTTGGTTGTGGAGTCTGCTATATAGTCCAGGATGTCTTGAACTCAAAATGATGCTGTTTTTTTTTGTTTTGTTTTGGTGGAACCGGGAATTGAACTCAGGCCCAGCTTCCGCCCCAGCTTTTGGTTTGGTTTGGGTTGTTTGTTGTTAATGTTTTGGGGTGTTGTTATTTTTGGGTTTTTTGCAGTAATGGAGATCAAATTTAGGTCACTCTACCACTGAGCTCTAGATTCCCAGCCCTTTTATTGTGAGACAGGTTCTTACTTGGTGGTTTCCTAGGTGGACCTTGATCTTGTACCTCTCCTGCCTCATTTCATAAGTAAGTGTGATTTCAGGTGTGCTCTGCAGGGCCCTATAAAAAGAGAGAGGGAGGGAGGGAAGGAGGGAGGGAGGGAGAGAGAGAGAGATAGAGAGAATAAATAAAATAAAAGTATTGTATGCTAGGGAAAAGAAACTAGCACACTGTAGATGTCATAGTAGTGCTACCAAATTTGTTTTGACTCATGTTACCGTAAGCACTTGCATGGGACTGGGGAAAGGGAAATAGATTTAACATTTAATTGTTTGTTTCTTTTCCTAGTAACACTCTGTCTCTATTTCAGCAGTAAAAGCCATGATGGAGATAAACTGATTCCAGCTCCACCTTCTTCTCCATTGAGAAAACAGGAACTAGAAAACTTGAAGTGAGTGTATAAACAAAAGAAGCACTGCACCTTTTGTTTTGTTTTGTTTTGTTTTGTTTTGTTTTGTTTTGTTTTGTTTTGTTTTGTTTAGCAGAACCAGGGATTGAACTCAGGCCCTTGCACTTGCCAGGGAAGTGCTTATTCCACTGAGCCATCTCCCTAGTCCCCACACTGCACCTTTTGAAATGAGCATATTTTTATTTTTATGCCCTTTATTGGTGATCATAGAATTAGGCACCGCCTCAGTGTATAAATCAGAATGAGTGTTCTAATAAGCTGAGCAGGTTTCATAAACAGAAAAGAGCTGAGGAAAGCAGAACTAGAAATCTAAAAGCACTGTAATCACAGCATTCTGGGAGGCTGAGGCAAGAGAATTCTCAAATTTGAACCCAACCTGGACAATTTAGTGATATACCAAGACCCCTGTCTCAAAATAAAAAGGCTAGGAACATCCTAAGCAACTGACTAACGGTCAAAATCCAGCCATATAATTAAAATAAATTAAGGACTGGCCAGATAGCTCAGCGGATTAAAGCGCCTGCTTAGGCAGATGCAGGGATGAGGGGTTTGATCCTCTGTGTGCCATCCTAGCCCCACCTCCAGGGCACTCGGAGACTGCCAGTGAGACTGGACATGGTGGTGCACGCCTGTAATCTCAGCACTTGGGAGGCTGAAAAGAGGATCACTATGAGTCTGATCTGTGTGGAAAGACCTTGTACTAAATACATTAAAAAAAAAAAAAAAGAAAAAGAAATTAGGAGTGGAGAGATAGCTTGGTGGTCTAAGCACCTGCCTGGCAAGTGCAAGGACCTGGGTTGGATCCCCACTATCACATGCCATACTAAGCCAGCCACCAAAACCAGGCGTGGTGGCATACACCTATAATCCCAGCATGGGGGAGGCTAAAACAGGAGAATCACTATGAGTCCCAACTGCATAGTGAGACCCTGTACCAAATATATAAGTCTTTGTTATAAATAAGAAAAAATAA